CCACGGCCTCAGCGAGGCAACACCAATGCCCCTTCGAGCCCCCCTGAGCCGGGAGTTCTCCCCTTAGCCAGGAGCACCGAATCCATCCACTCCTTCCTGGCATTTGTCACGTCTGTAAGTTTACATTTATTTGTGTGTATCCGATGAAAGTCTGGTTCTTCAACAGACTAGAGCTCCGGAGGGCAGAGACTCTGCCGAATTTTCTTGAGACTGTATTTCCAGGAACTAAAGGAGCTCTGAGCACACAGCTACTACTGCAGGAGTGAGGGTTGAAAGCAGAAAGTTTTTCAAAATTAAATCCAAACGGGCACTCAAGGCTTTGGCAACTTGTGGACCGTCCTCAAGAGCCATGATGTCATGAGCTGTATCCTTGCCAAGGCTCCAGCGTGAAGCTCTAGCGAGGGACCCAGCAGCTGCTCTTCCCCGCGCCAGTATTACCACCTCTTACTCTTGTGAAGTTTGTGTCTTTATGAAAAATAACACCACCAGCACAAGCCACCCTACCCTACCCCCGCAAAAAAAGAAAAGTAGGGCTTCCCTGGTGGCGCAGTGGTTGAGAGTCCGCCTGCCGATGCAGGGGACACAGGTTCGGGCCCCGGTCCGGGAAGATCCCACATGCCGCGGAGCGGCTGGGCCCGTGAGCCATGGCCGCTGGGCCTGCGCGTCCGGAGCCTGTGCTCCGCAATGGGAGAGGCCACAACAGTGAGAGGCCCGGGTACCGCAAAAAAAAAAAAAAGAAAAGAAAAGAAAAGAAAAGTAACAACTGCTAGTGTTGGTGCTGAATAGGAAGAGCAAGTGAAGTAACCTAACTCTTTCCTCTTTGCTGTGGGGTTATGTGCTATGGGCGTGTTCATGAACTTGAAGGTTAATAATAGCTAACATCCACGGAACCCTTACTGTAATGAGGCTGTGTGCTTGTGCTTGCATACGTTTTCTCATTTAACCTTCTCAACAGATCTATTTTTATCTTCCTCTTTCTAATAAAGAAACAGAGACTCTGAAATGTTAAGTAATTTACCCAAGGTCACACAGCTAGTAATGGCAGAGTGGATTTGAAGCCACATGATCTAACTCATTCCAAAGTCTGTGCTCTTCACCATTACCATTACTGCCTCTCCCAGAGAGGCCCAGGACACCTCTTTAGCAGATATGTAGGGAGTCTGTCCTCAAAGACTAAATGCTATCTGTTCATCGAGCAACAGATGTCTCTTAGTCTATTACTTTGGGTTTGAATTACGGTTTAACTAAAAATAGCTAAACAGCCTACCTTTAGCTTCTTCCCTTTCCATTACATTTTCCATTTTGACCCTTCTCTAAAATACAGATTGATCATCTATCTCTCCGCCAGTTTCATGAAGGTTCAATGGCTTCCCTCTGCTTACAACAATACGACAAGCCACTTAGCCTGGCACATGAGGCCCCATGAACTGGCCCAGGCTCTGTGTTCTCATCTCCCATCCTTCAAATAGGACTCCTAAGTGGATTACAAGGCAAGGACTTGCCTAATTCCTTGCCTGAAATGTGATTCTCCCTTCTTGAAATCCTATTCATCCATCGAAGCCAGGTCAGCCCGAGGGGCAAATCACATATAGAGTAACAATGAATATTACTATTTTTAAAAAAAATTCTAAATGTTATTAAGTCCCATATTACTCAACTAAGTCTGAGAGAAAAGATTAATTGAAAAAGGTCTCAACCTTTTGTAAACACGTGATTAGTAAGGTTTTCAACAGTAGATTCAAATGTTTCAAATTAGGAGAGAATATGTAGTATCACCTCCAGTGTTTTTTTTTTCCAGCCTCAACAACTCTAAATCTACCAGAAGGCCTTTGTAGCGATTCTCTCAAAGTGTAACAAATTCTACTTTGTATATCATCTATTTGTGTTTAATTATAAGGATTTGAATTTACAGCACCAGTGAATCAGTAATTAGATAGTACTGTACCAAAAGAAATTGAAGATAAAAACAAAAACACAGCTCAGCACAAGGCCATATCATCCGGTAATGTTTCATGATAAAAATACTTCCTGAGAAATACAAGTTAATTGAATCGTTAGCAATGTATTCCTTTGATTTGT